GCACGTCTGAAGGGGGGCAGGGTCCCTCTGGAGGATGATTCTAAGAACTCAGCATCATATAAACATAGACCATTTTTAGAAAAATCAAAGAAAGGCTGAAACAGTTCTAGCCATTTGCCATTATGGGGAATAAAATTACATTTGAAGAAGCATTTTCAGTCAGGAACTGTCTTGTAATGATTTATTGGAAAAAATATTCCTTTAGAAGGAAATGTATACATTCCCTGCCACTGTATTTCAGGGAACAACATCTTCATCAGTCTGATTTTTAATATCCTGGGGAAACTTTGTTTTTAAAATTTCCACGGCAATATCAATACGTGTAGAAATAGAAAATTACTTGCTTTGTTTTCTCAACAGCTTTTCTACCTTTGAGAAACTCATCACACAGAGAGGAAAATTAGGGCCATTGCATTACGGATCGTTCCTATTCAGAAAGAAAATTAAGGCAGTGACCATTAGGAGCCTTCTCATCAAAGGATTCCAAAAGACATCTTTTGGGGAGCTTATTTATGTGTTTTCTTTTGAAAAATAGCCTGCATCTTCCAAAGCACATAAAAGAGTTTAATCAACTCCCATTTTGCAAATAGCCAGCTCCAGTAATTGTCCAGTTTGCATGGCCAACTTCTTTTATCTGTATTTCTGCTCACCTTTAATTCTCTTACCTCAAAAGTTCAGTTTAAGAGAAATGAACATTTTAGCCACATGGAGCCTTCTCTAAGAAGGCTGTAAGAAGTGCCTGTCTCTTTATTTAGGTGCCTGTCACAGTCAGGGTAGATTTTGCCCCCAGAGGACATTCGACAGTGTCTGGAGACATTTTGGTTGTCACATCTTTTCGGAGTGGGATCTGCATGCCACTGTCACCTTGCAGGTAGGGACAGGGTGCTGCTCAACGGTGCGGAAGGCAGCCCTCACGACAGAACTTTAGCTGGCCCCGAAGTCCGGGAATGCCACTGCTGACAGACCCTGATTGAGGTCTTTCTCTTTTTTTACTGATGTTTTGAGTTTTCAGTGTAGCAATATTGTACTTTGTTAGAGTTATCCTTAGATAATTAATAATTTGGTGCTATTGCGAATGGTTTTTAAGTTTTACTTTCTAATTATTGTTAATTTGTATATGTATGTGTTTATGTATATGTGTATCTATATTTTCATTTTATGTGTCTTACATGTTGTTATGCCTGCTGTTTTATTTTAGAAATTATTTTACACTTTGTTATTGTTGGTGAAGGAACTAGGATCTTTTTCCTGTAAAACTTCCCACAGCTTGGATTTTGCTGATCATATCGGCATGATAGTGGTTAATATGTTACGATCATTGCTTAGTTGATTAATTCATTAGAAGCTGCAAAATGAGATAATCTGATTCTATCATTTGCTTTTCATGTATTATCCCAGGATATTTTTGTAAAGAGAATCCCCCACCATCCAGTAATTGGTTACTCTGAATTCATAGAGAAAAGGCAAGGTAAATGCTTATTCTTTAATTTTGAAATCAGTTTCCAAAATAATGAGTTGGTTCTCTAGGGTTCTCTATAGGTAGTCAGTGAGATCTTTCTTTAAATTAAAATTATTATGACCTTATGGTTTGAACTTATTTGATATTTCATTACTCTATTTACCCTCATTGATGATAAAATTGTTCCATGTTTGGCTACCTCTTCAAGACCATGATATATTTTTTTAAACTTTCTTCCTTTCTGCTCTAACAAGATCGTCTAGGCTCCTCCGAAACATCTCTTGCCCCTGACCTGGAATCAGCGATGGTCTCCTTTACTTACTATATTCAGAGAGGCTCCGGGCCAGTGCAGAGCCATGGGGCGGCCATTTTTCTAGGCTTCTTTACTAGGCAGAGCCAGAAAGTGCGGTTTTGTTTTTTTTAAATGAAAAATACAACGAGTTGAGTTGGTTTTCCAGTGCGTATTCTGGTGTATAAGGTAACAATCAGCTCATACTTTTCCCCCGCACACAAAATTCCGGTCTCAGCAAACACCAATGTGCCTACACCTTGCTTTATCCCAAATGACAAACCCAGCAGCCTTACAGAATAGCGGTCCAATTCCACTGGTAAGAATATGATTACCAAGAACAAATTTTTAAAATATTTGCCATCTTCCGGGGTCTGTTTTAGGCGTATTTTGTAATAGGGATGTGCTGTCAGATTACTGTGTTTCAAAAGTCTCTTGGGTACTGTTCTCTGTGTAGTAGTTTTTTTACCAAGTGGATTTGCAGTTAGATACATTTAACTCATTTTACTTTCTATTTTTAGGCATTGCTTTATTAAAATTTAATTTGGTATTATTCTCATGTACAACATTTACACAGTTTCAAAGTCATACCTACAAAACAAAGTATATATACAGAAGCTTTGTTTCTTGTTGCTTTTTTCCTGTTTCATCCCTCACCTTGTAGGTATCCATTTCAAACGGCCGTGGGTCATCCTACCATTGGTTGCATTTTTCAATATCAGGAAATACATATGTATATCTATGTCTTCCCTCCTTTCAAGTGAGTGAGGTTTTCACCGTTGGCTGTTTCACTTGCCCCCACTTCCTTTTTTGTATATCATCAGAAATCTAGAAGAGTTTGTATTGTGGCCCTAAGTTTGTACTCAACCTTTGCGGGATGCCCTCTCTCCCCTCCTGTTTTGGTCTTTGTGTATCGGTCCCTGATATGAGTGCACTGAAGTGAGCCAGGAGTCTCTTCCTTTTCCCCCGGGCATTGGTTCGGAGAAATGGTCCTCTACACTTTGGGAACATTTCCAAATCTCCAAATGAGTAAGTTTTCTGTAGAAAAAAATGTGTGGGCCAGAAGCGACTAAGGTGAGGTAAATTCACATGAGACCACTGGAAGTATGTGTGTTTAGAAAAAGCCAAGTAAGTGAAACAAGTGAGTCTCGTTAGAGAAAGCTCCGAGAACACCAGGGAGAGCAGCATGTGAGGGACACTGGCTTATTGATCAGTTCATTACTGAGTGTCTAAGGGACCCAGGGAAAAAAATGTTTCCACTGGGCTGGTTTAACACTTAAATGATAAGATGGTATGGGTGGTGCTGTGCGAAAAAGGTGAAGGGGTTAAGAAGTACAAATTGGTCGTTACAAAATAGTTACAGGGATATTAGGGAATATAGTCAATATTATTGTAATAACTATGTGTGGGCCCAATACTTAAAATATTGGGGGACCCTTCTGTAACGTATATGACTGTTTAACCACTATGCTGCACATCTGAAACTAACGCAGGATAGTATTGAATCTACAGTGTAGTTGAAAAATAAAAGAATAAAATGAACATTGGGAAATATAAAAATTGAAAAGATGGTATACTATGCAAAGTACTAAGGGCTAGTTTCGGCTACCATGCATAATGAATAGCCATGGCTCTCAGACTCCTAATTTTAGTCAAGAACAAGAAGTGCGTGTAGCAACACCAGGCTGTAGTTGGAGCTCCTTTCAGTTCCTAAATGGCAAAACGTCAATCTGTGAGCAAGGACAGGGTCGAGAGGGGAAAGCTGTGCTAATCAGCACGTGACAGAGGCGTGTCCTGTCCTGGAAGGCAGAGTGCGCCATCGCCCCTTCGCTGATCCAGGTGCTGAATGCCTGCTGTGTGTAAGGCATGATGGTGAGGGAGGAGGCAGAAACCAGCGTTCCGGAGGGGACACTGGCATGCAGGCCCAATTGTAAGAGAGCGGGGTAGGAGCCTGAACGGCCTGTCTCTGCGGAGCCGTGGGACGAGGAGGCTGACAGCTGCTGCGGCACGGGGCGTGGGGTTGGTCGGCATGTCCTGTGTGTGATGGAGGTTGTGCTGTGGGAGCGGTGGTCGTGCGGCTGTGAGTACTCGTGGGATTCTGCACAAGTTAGTTGACCTTCCTAATTACTCCCTTGCAGCTTTAAATATCCTATCAAGTCGGGGTAAGCAGGCTACTGCTCACTGTAGAATTTGGGTAGGCACCCATGTGGATGGAAAAAATGTAGCAGAAGGTTAACATCCCAAATAACTTGAGCTCTTGATGCCTCTCCCACTACCCCTCTCACTCCCCCGCCATACACCACACTCCGAGAGGAAAATGGACCTGCATTCGACTCAGCAATGCTACCTCTCGCGTGCAAAGCAAGCACTTGCTTTTATATTTGCACTCACTGGCAAAGATATATGTACAGATATTCATTTGAGCAAAGTATATATGTATGTGTATGTACATATATGTATACACATGTAAATGTACATGTTCTCCTTCCCATCTTCCATACTCACCCCTCCCACTCCCAACATAAACTTGCTTTAGACACAAACTAAATTTTTAACAGGGGGTTGGCTAAGTACATCATTGCTGCCTTTTAAAAAAATATAAAATAACCATATGTAATTTGCATAATGAAAAATGAGTAAAATTATTTTCCTTTAAGAAGGCAGTTAAAACTTGCTTTCCTTTTTAGTACAATGTATAGAAATTGGGTTGGGAATTTGAAGCAGAAGGTTTATATTCTTTTAATTGGATTGGTAATAGTCTGCTTTGGCTTTGTATTTGGCTCATATATGAAATTGGGTAACGCCTGTGCATTGCAGTGAGGGAACCATGGGCCCAGGGAGGCATTCTTCAGGTTCTTTGGATGAGCGAATTTGCGGGGCTGGACAAGTGCTAAAAACCCTTTGATCTACTCTAAAGGTGATATTTTATGTGTGTGAGTTTTGAATATGTTTTGCACTTTTAAAGTGAATATTAATCGTCTTTACTTGGCCGTGCGTTTGCAGATGTTGGATTGGCTTGCTGAGGCCGTCTCTGTTATAATGTGACATCATCGTTTGCCTGGCTGTGAAGAAGCCGAGGCAGACAGACCTGTAAACCTCCTTGCATCTTTAACTTTTTTCTTAGGGTAGTTTGATCTGCTTGAAGAACTTAACTTCTCTACAGTTATTGGGAAAATTCATGATCTCTGTATATCAAATGTCTTTAAAATAAAAATTCACAATAAAAATAATTTTATTTTGTTTCTTTCACAGACATCATAGCCCCCTGATGAGTTTCGGAGCCAGCTTCGTCAGTTTTTTGGTGAGTGGATACGGGGAGAGGCACTGGCGTGAAGGGAGTGAACGTGTGATGTGTGTTTTGGGGTGGCTCCTGGCTGTATAGAGAGATGGCTGTGAAAGATTTTTTAGAGTTTAAAACAGAAGTGAAGTTTGCCTGTTAACCAACATCTATATTTTCTTTTTTTCTAATTTTAAAAGTAAAATGCTTAGATCTTGTATTCTATTTTTCCCAACCAAAATCTATTTTAAATAGAAATGTAATTGAAAGATCCTTCTAAAAATTAAAACTACACTAGAGTTAATATTAAATCAGCCTTTGAATAATAAAGGTTTGTTCTAAAATTATTGAATAAATGTGGGCTGGAGGACACGTTAAATTAGCATAGCTAAAGTTTGTCAGTTATTATTACATTTTCAAATGCAATTGAATATTTAGGAATTGACGGAATAGGTTGCAGTTAGGTTATAAAATAAATTTGACAATGTTTATAATTGGATGCTTTTATTTTTTGGAAACATCACCTAATCTACTTTCAAACATACATATTTTTAAAAACCACAGTAGCGCGCCGCGCGCGCGCCCACACACACACACACACACACACACACACACACACGCCACAAGTAGAGACCAGTAGATGTAAAACAGGAGAAGCGTTTAGATTTCAGACTTAGACGCCAGCAAATGGGTGTGTTGTGTGCAGCCCGGCAACATCCGACCACAGTCACCAGGTCAGCTTCTGGTGACATAGATTTTCATTCAAGCTATTTATTTTCTATTATTGCGAGCTAACACAACAAAAATTTTAAAGTCTACCTTTTGCAAGTAAACAGAGTTCCCTACCTTAAGGAAATGGTACTGGGTGGGTAGGGGATTCTGACCTGACGGGGACACAACCGCAACCTTGGCAGGGTGCAGGAGGCGGGCGGGGCGGAGGCTGTAGCCCTGTAGAGGTTTGGTTGGGAAGAAGAGTGTGGCGGGAGACTTGGGCAAGGGCGGCTGTGGTCCGATTTGGCGAGTATTGGAAAGTAGGTTAGAGCCGCACTGAGGAGGCCTCGAATGCCAAGGTGGAGCTGGCTGAGAGGGAGTGGAGAGCTGCATACACTTATGTCAGTAGGTCCTTCTAAAGACCTGGTGTCCGGCCCTGCCCCTGTATCTCATTCATCTCAGAAACCTCACTTCTTCTGGGTGAACATAGCAGGTTTGCAGCAGAGAGGGATAGTTCCTGCCAAGTCTGTGTGGCCTGAGAAAATCGACCAGGAACAGGTGCTTGAAAACAAGCTGTCAGTGGAATCTTCCGCTGTGGACAGTACGAGTTCCTTGTAAGGGTCCACGCTGGAATCGCTGTCCCTGATTTTCAAAGAACATCCACTGGCTGATGTTTCAGATGTTTTTGCGCCATGCTTGAAGGAGTCAGTGATCCGTGTGTGGGTAGAATGTGCTTTTCAATGAGACTCTTATAAAAACTGAATTAAGTGGACCAGTCAAAAAATTATACAGGGTTTTTGTTACTGTGTTTATAACTAGCAAAAAAAATTGTAGAACAATAAGTGCAAGGGCATTTAGCACCATGTATTTTTTCATGATATAATAGAGGTATATATTCTTATTTCATACTGAGATTATAGTTTTTTTTTTAATGAATAGGTTATGATGAAACATTCTGATTCTTTCACTTGCAACAAATATAATTCAAATGTTCTTTTTTACAGTTTGGAGTTTTGTTGAAATAAATTGGCATAAGTTTTTATGCACTTTCTGATTCATTCATTTTTCATTTCTTGGAAGAATGCCATGATGACATTTGAGGAAGAAAAAATGCAGTTGGCATGTGATGACTTAAAAACTACAGAAAAGCTGTGTGAAAGCGAGGAGGCTGGAGTAATTGAAACAATCAAGAATAAAATTAAGAAGAATGTAAGTAACTGTCTTTAGGGTATGAGCTGTGTACCACTCATTTAGGGCATTGCTCATTTATTTGGTCTGGGTATTTAGAATATGACTGAAAGCACTACATGTTTCTTAAGGCTTTTGGTTATGTAAGATGTATTTCTTTTTAAAAAAGATTTTATTTATATTTAGAGAGAGGGGAAGGGAGGGAGAAAGAGAGAGAGAGAGAAACATTAGTGTGTGGTTGCCTCTTGCACATCCTCTACTGGGGACCTGGTCCCCAACCCAGGCCTGTGCCCTGACTGGGAATGGAGCCGGTGACCCTTTGGTTCACATGGCCAGCACCCAATCCACTGAGCCACACCAGCCAGGGCTAAAATGTATTTCTTGAAAGAAGAGCAGCCCCCTTCATTCATTAGAGCTCTTCAGTGCATGTTCCTTTGGTATCTTAAAATTGTCTTCTTCCATAATGGGCCATGTGGCAAAGGCTTTTGTGATGAGGCTTTCATATATGTAATTCAAATACATTGCATTTTGGCATAATTTGGGAATTCGGGTGTTTACCTAGTTTTCTCTAGGCCCCATCAGCTTTTGGTTACAAATAAAGTCTCAGCAACATCATAATCCACTTTTTTTCTGACTTACCTTTCACCTTCCAGTGCAGAAGTCCTAGGCTTTGGCAAGGCATCCCCCTACACCTGATATTTCTTGAGTGCCTAGGGTTCTCACATATGTCACATGTTGGCTGATGGACCAGTCTGTAGGTTATAGATATCAAAAACCACCCATCTGCCCTGGCTGGTGGTGTTCAGTTGGTTGAAGTATCATCCCGTACACCGTACACCAGAAGGTCACGGGTTTGATTCCTGGTCAGGGCACATACCTAGGTAGTGGTTTCGGGGTGTGTATGGGAGGCAGCTGATCCATATTTTTCTCTTGCATTGATGTTTTTTTCTTCCCCTCCCCTCCCCTCCCCTCCCTCCCTCCCTCCCCTCCCCTCCCTCCCCTCCCCTCCCCTCCCCTCCCCTCCCCTCCCCTGCCCCGTTTCTCCTTTTTTCCCTACTTTCCTCTCTCCCTTCATCCCTCTCTCCCTTCATCCCTCTCTCCCTTCATCCCTCTCTCCCTCTGTCCCTCCTGCTTCTCTCTTTAAAATCAGTAAATATATGTTTAAAAAGAAAACATCTTTTCTTCTTCATGTTAGTCCAGGTTACTTCATCTATGCTCTTGCTTATGGTGTTCACCATGAGGAAGCCACCGATGGGCCAAGAGTATTGTCTCCTTATTGTCCCCTTATGCTCATTGACCCCTCTCTCCTTAAACGCTGCCTCTAACCAATGACCAAGCCCCTTTGACTCGCTTTCTCAAATGCCTTCTAAATTCATCTACTTCTTGCCATTCTCCTGCCATTCCCCAAGGTCACCCACCATCTACTTGCCTGAGACAACCCTCACTGGAGTTTCTGCTTTAACTCTTACCGTTCTCTAAGTCAGTCTCCGTAACACAGTCTCTAAAATGCAAATAGTATGTTCCTGGCTTCCTTTTCAGTATTCCTGTCCCCCATCATGGCCATGGCAGTCAAGTCCAAGCTCCTTAATGTGTCAGACTTGCCATCACTTCTGCTCTGCCTAGAACGTTCTCCTCCCTCTTGACCTGGTTTGGACTCGTTCTTCTTCTTAGATGTCATTTTCTTCAAGAACTCTTGCCTGAGGCCTGTTGGATGTATCATCTTCACATTCCCATAGTTCCTTGTACTTTATCCTTCAGAGCACGTATTATATTGCACAGTAAAATGGTCAGCGTTCCCTCACTAGGCCATAAGCTTGTTTACACGTCTGTTTTCAATATCTAATCCCATGCCTAACACATATGTTAATAATTCACCTTTTTAATGGACCCCTGCAATTTAAAAAGCATTGGCACCTACAGCACCTCATCGGCCCTCCCAACAACTCTGTAGAGTAGATGTTATTCAAAGCAAAAAAACAGAAGAACCAGTAGATTGACTTTTGCTTAGCACAGGAGTGAGTGCTGGGACTGGACCAGGAGCAAGTGTGCCGCGGTGAATTGTGCCGGTTCGGAAAAGAGGGAACCGGCCCTTCTATCCTGTGCACTGTGTGCTGCGGTCAGATTTGCAAAAATCCTATCACTTCTTGTGTCATTGTGAAAGCATTTGAAAGCTACTTCACTTGTTTTGTTCAAGTTTACTTTGTACTGGAAATACAGTATTCCACTTCACAGTGATGTTTCCTCATTTAGAAACATTCTTTACAACTAAGACCAACATCTTGGAAAAGTTAGGGGGGTTTTGCTTTACTTTTTGCTATGTTATTGGTTTTTGAAGTCCTGAAATTATTATTTGAAGTCCTGAGCACAAATTTCCTAATCTAGTTAAATGACCTACGATTTAGTAAGCATTAGCAAAGGATATGAACTATTATTTTATAGAGATAGTCACTTTATGACTTAAATTTCAGGTTCAATTTGTGATTCAGTCAAAGCTCATTTTTAATTCCAGGGCATTCTCTTCTTAACAAAATGTGACCAGTTTCTGATCCTCCCATCTCAGCTGGGTGCACCTAAGAAATGACCCCCAGTATCAGTCCTGCCTGAAGGTACCTGGTTACCAAGTGGCTTTTCAGGTTGTCTACTTTGGGGAATTTTTTTCTACCTTTAGTGATTTTTATTTTGGATAAGTAAGAACTTGCATTGTTTTTGAAAAGGTAAAACCTTCGAGTTCTGTGTTGGCTTTCCTGTGTCCTAGGCACTCAGTTTTTATCATTCAGAGTATTCGTCTTTGAATTCTAATCTTCAGCATTGCATTGGTAACAAAATTAGGCCGGATCTAATGGCAGTACAGAACTACCAGGCTCATAATATAAATTTGGTCTTGGCTTTTAGTAACTGCTATGTGTTTTAGTGGAATCATTTTGCACAATAAAGTCATAGTTGTTTAGAAGGAGCATTCTTGTGTATGATTTATCAGTGTGTACTTTCTCCCCACAAACAGGTCGATGTCCGAAAATCCACCCCTTCCATGGTTGATCGACTTCAGAGGCAGATAATCATAGCCGACTGTCAAGTTTACCTGGCTGTGCTCTCGTTTGTAAAACAAGAATTGTCAGGTATCCTGAAGCATTATATGTAATGGCTTTCCCTGTTCAGTGTGTACAGCTGGTAATACTCCTATTTTTTAGAACACCTCGTGTTCCACACTTGGACAGTGTGTGCCACCTCTTTGGGGCCTGATACTGATTATTAGTTGGGAAACTGAAACCAGGGTTGCTTAAGGTGTGTTTACAGGTTACTTTTAGAGCCAAAGTCTTTGTTCCTCCTCTTGTCTCAAGAAGTTGTCCTCCTTAGAGAGGTGACCTGTGCCGCAGACACACAGATATTTTCTTGGTGCGAATCAAGTTGTGATAATAACCTTTATAGTGAAATATGACTGGTTTAAACTTAAGTTCTTCAAGAAATCGTTATTGAAGGCCTGAGCACATACTAAAGATTTTCTAATATACTTGAATGATCTACATTTTCACCTTTAGAGAGGGATATAAATGAGTTCCTTAATTAGTTCAAGAGATATGTTTTCCCCCATTTTGTAGCTTGAATATCTTGAGTGGCATAGACTCAACTTGAGTTTCTAGTAGCTTGCTGTACGGCCGGGCCTAGCACTGACGCTGGTTCTCCTGCTTAGGCGGTAATGTGTGTCTCTGATACTGACAGCAGAAATCGGCTTCTGGTACATCAGATTTACTTGGGGAAAAAAGAAAAGTAAAAAGGAAATCATTTAACATTTGCAATCAGAAAAGCATTTTCTTGCAAACCTTAAATGAAGAAGCTTATGTTGCTAAGTCGTAATACATACTTTTCTTCTTAGACTATCAGAAACTAGTTCTCTTCTCGTCTCTTCAGTTCTGTCCTCTCTCTACCCCATATTTGAGGATAGACTTACTAGAATTTATCCTCCTCTTTAAATGTGTTTTATGATTGTAGTTTGGCCTTCTGCTGTGCTTCATTTTTTTTTAAAGTTTTTAAAAAAGATTTCATTTATTTTTAGACAGAGGGAAAGGGAGGGGAAAGGAGAGGGAAACATCTATGTGTAGTTGCCTCTCATGAGCCCCCTACTGGGGACCCGGTCCGCAACCCAGGCATGTGCCCTGACTGGGAATCAAACCGGCAACCCTTTGGTTTGCCAGCTGGTGCTCAATCCCCTGAGGCATACCAGCCAGGCCCAGTTATTTTTTCTCCTTAATCGTCATCTCAGAATTCTCCCAATGACTGATTAACTTATATGGTTGAGGGCTCATAGTTCCTCAATTGTCTGTAATGCAATCATGCAAAACCCCCCTTTGGAGCTAATGTGTATGTAAAAGCAGTGGAAGTACCTGAACCTGTTGGGGGTCAAAGACAGGTGCTTCAGTGTTTTCTGTGATGTGGTACTGCTTTTTCTCAATACTCAAGGTTATCTTTAAGGAGCTAATGTTAGCCATCAAGAAAGTATCTGTTGAGCCCTGGTGTGGCTCAGAGGATCGAGTGCTTGCCTGCAAACTGAAATGTCACCAGTTTGATTCCCAGCCAGGGCACATGCCTGGGTTGCAGACCAGGTCTCCATTTGGGGGCTTGTGAGTGGCAACCAATTAATGTATTTCTCACACATCAATGTTTCTCTCTCTTTCTTTCTCCCTCCCTTCCCCTCTCTAAAAATAAATAAATAAAATCTTGGGGAAAAATATCTGTTGAGAGAAGGGTAAATCAAATGTAAAAAGTTGGAGGAATAAGGGTAAAGGGTATCTGGGAATTCATTGTATTAATTTTGAAGCTCTTCTATAAGTCTGAAAGCATGTAGAAATTTAAAAGTGAGTATATCTGTGCTCATTTGTTTATTAGTGGTCCGTCTAGCCGGTGATTATGGATCACATGCGGTGTTCAGGCACTGTGTTGGCTGAACAAACACAGGCCACGGGCCCTGCCCTGCCCTCATGAAGTTTAGAATCACCAGTTAGTAGTATGTTTTTTTAATTATTCTGATTATAAAGCTACTAAACATTGTTGTGGAAAATGAAAACCAGAAAGAAAGCAAGTCATCGCCAATCTCACCATTTGGAGAAAATTAATCTTTATTGCTAATAATCTATTTTATATTTCTGTATATTTCTTTTCCAAAATTGAATCATATCCTACTTTTTCCTTAGATTATATTTCACATACTCTCCCTGTACTTAGATTCAAAATGTAATTCTAAATAATAACATATTAGTTTATCATGAACATTCTGCAGTTTATTTAAACAGTTCTTGTATATTCAGGTGTTCTTTATTTTTTATTTTTTGGTTATTAGTGAAACTGAAACTATTTTTATATTATATCTATAATCTATATTTCTTTCACAAATTACCTTGTGAAATGGCCTTTTCTAATTTTCCTAATAGGTTGATGTTAATCAATTATTTAATCTTGTTTATCATAGATTGTTAACTGTGTTCTTGGTTCTTTCAGAAGGCCATGTAATTTGTTGAATGTAACATTAATTATGAAATGAAATTCTGACAGACATGAATAATAAATGTATGGCATGATCGTTTGCTTTATGAATAGCTCAGTGTTTGTTTCAAACAAACACATATAACCAAAAGTGGGCTTTACTTGCCTTTTAGAAACACATTGGGTTATTAAACTGTAAAATCCTTCCTTCCTTCCTTTGGGGGTCCATTTCTTAGCAAACACTTTTGATGCAGTTTTCTTGGGTGGGGAAACCCCTCCTTGGACTTGTGTGTTGTAGGTGCCAGCAGTGGGGGGGTGCACTCACTCACCCGAGTTACAGGCAGATGTGAGTCCGTGTGGATTTTTATTAATGCTTCACACGTTTAAGAGTTCTTGTTCTTTACCTCATTCGACCTTCTTTATAATCAATTGCTCTATCTAGCTTCATTTTTCCCATACTATTCACAACTTTTAAATTTATTATCCAGGGGCTTTTTATCTTCCAGTGAACATACATTACTTGTATAATAAAAAGAAGTTATTTTTAAAGCCTGTTTTATGGCACTTGCCCCTTGTTTTATTTTCTTTTATTTCCCTTTGGACTTTAGGATAGGCTCCAGGACTCACCTTCTTGGCATAATATGTGCTTAACAAGTTTTCCCCAGATGAGATTGTTTTTCTTATTTTATAGGTGAGGCAGCTGAGGCTGAATCATTTGGTTGAGGTTGAACGATTTACACAGTTCATTGTGGATGACAGAATCAGCACCAGAGCCACGGGTTCCTTTTCATACCTGAATTGCTAGCGTTCTCACCATTTTCTCCTCACCTTTGTTTGATTGTTTGAGCCGCCCGCCGTCCTCCACATGGCCCGGAAACCCGGCTTGCTCGGGCCCTCTCAGGCATCACCCATGCCCACCCTCTCCCTGCATCCCAAGGAGCTGGCCCTGGAACATTACAACAGCCTGCTATGGACTCTGTGTGGCCATTGGAACCGCCTTCCTTTCTTTTATTTCTAGGCCATTTTTATTGTATTTTTTCCATTACCATTTATTCCCCCTGTACCCACGTCTACCTCCACCTCCCTCCTCTGTCACCACAGTGCTGCCCATGCCCATTAATCCTTTTCCCTTTTTGCTCCCTCCTCCTCCATCTTCTCCTTCTCTCTCTTTTTTACTCCTGAGTAGTACTCCATTGTGTAAATGCCCCATAGCTGTTTAACCCACACATGTACTGATGAACACTTGGCTGTTTGCAAATCTTGGCAGTTGTAAATAATGCTGCATTGAACATAGGGGTGCTTATATTTTTTCAAATTAGTGTTTCGGGTTTTTTTGGATAAATTCCCAGAAGTGGGATTGCTGGGTCATAAAACAGTTTAATTTTTAATTTTTTGAGATAACGCCACACTGCTTTCCACAGTGGCTGCGCCAGTCCGTATTCCACCAACAGTGCATGGGGTTCCCCTTTCTCCACAGCCTTGACAGCACTTATTGTTCGTTGATTTATTGATGACGGCCATTCTGACAGGTGTGAGGTCATATCTCATTGTGGTTTAATTTGCATTTCTCTGCTGATTAGTGATAGTGAGCATCTTTTCATATGCCTATTGGCCATCTGTATGTCCTCTTTGGAGAAGGGTCTATTCAAGTCCTTTCCCCATTTTTAATTGGTTTTTTTTTTGGTGTTTTTTAAGTTCTTTATAAATGTTGGTTATTAACCCCTTATCAGGTATATATGAGTACGTTCTCCTATTCAGTGGGTTGTCTTTTCATTTTATTGATAATTTCCTTTGCAATGTAAAAACTTTTTAGTTTGATTATAGTCCCATTTATTTTTTCTTTTGTTTGGAACCATTTTTCTGAAACTTATTATACCGCGCTTTAAAGTCTTAGCTGTTCTGCATCCCCTACAAAAGAAAGTCCAAATTCCTCCCTCAGGTGGCAGAGAAGAACCTGGCCCGCGTCCCAGGCTCCCCGCCCTCCCACAGCCGCACCTCGCTAAGCAGAGCTTGCGGTTCCCTGAATGCCCTTTGCTGCCTCATGCCTTTTGGCACACTGCCTTCTCAGCCTGGAGCGCCCCTACCCCTTTCCTTTCTCCCTTGCCTATCCAGGCGCAGCCCAGGCCAACTTCCTTCCTCATTATGGACTCCTTCCTCGTTGACTTCATCATCTGGCTTTTGCTGCTCTGTGTGTACCCTGTGCATAGTCAGGGTACACATGGAGCAGCACAGAGAATTAATCACACAGCAGTAGCAATTATTCTTTACACGTCTGTCTGCAGTATTAGACTACAGACTCCTTGAAGGCAGGGACTTGTGTCTATGCTGTCTTTCCCCCGACATTTATTGAGTACTTTCTACCTGCCAGGCGCTGTGAGGTAGTAGATGCTAATGGTCTGGAGATGAATGAAATGTAGTTCTTGCCCTAAGGAAACTGATGACTTAGCAGGGCAGGAAGAGGAATAAACATTATAATTCAGGGTGATATTTTAACCAGTAGACATAGAAACTAGTCATAGAGGTTGCACAGGGAATGAGTAGTTCCTCATGTCTGTCCGGAAAGGCCAGGGATCCCTGGTCCTGTCCCTGAGCAGGTTCTAAAGAATGAAAGTCCATTTTCTTTTCTGGGTCCCTGGCACTTGATATGGTAGCTTTGCCCAGCACATGGTGGGTGTATAATATGTGAATTCAAGAAAGGGTGATGCTATTCGGGAAAGAGAGGCATGATATAGAGCCCCAGGAAGCCTCCAAAATAATGGGGATTGGAAAAGTGGGTCTCTTGGAAGTCTGTTGACTGGGGTAAACATAATAATAACGAGGTCGGTGGACTAGCAATCACTAAATCATCTGTTCTCCCTGCCAAAGTCTGTTAAGTGGGTCACAAGAAAGGCAAGCCTGGGCTTACTTGCACTGTAGGGTTAGCCAGCCTTATCCAGGACAGGTGAACAGATAACATGCTACAGTAGGAGCTCTTACCAGACACAGTCCTCATGGAAACGTCTATAAATTTTTTCTAAGACTACATTGGTATAACTTGATATTTTCATTTTCCAGACAACTCTTGCCCTTTCCCAGGAAAGACTTTCCCACCCCATCCTGACTCATATGGGAACAGGGTTTCCCCTCCCTTACTTACCAGCTGATTGAGGCTGAACCCAGTAGGGGAGGACAAGTGGTCTTCATTTTCTGCCCTCCTCTCTGTGACTTCCTCCATAGGCACAATAGTGACTGAATGATTTGTACTTGACCTTTCAGAGGAGCCACGTAGAAGGCCATGTGGAGTGTGGGGCTCTTAAATACAGTTCCTCTGCTTGTTGGGAAGATGTGTGCTCACCGGCCCCACAGCTGCTCCACTGAGCTCAGAATCCCGCCTGCGGAGCCAAGGGCCTGTGTGCCCGCTGTCTGCCTGCTGTCTGCAGGGAGCAAGCTGCCCACTCTGCTGGATGCTCACCGTGGCTCCTCCACTGGGCTCTGGCTGTGCCTGGACCATTTAGTCACAGTATTTGGGGCTGGGAGTAGGGCGAGTCCTGGGGAAACTGCTTCGACAAGTTGAGCTTAGAAAGTAGTGAAAACAAGACTCTCTCTCCGTGTATATTAACTTTGTTTTGCACATATTTTAGTTTATAATCTTTGACTTAGTCAAAACTTTGGGCTCTGCTTATCTGGCTCAGATTAAGTTCATGAAAGCTCATTATTATCAAACCATGTGCTTTTAAACACTGGCACCAAAGCTTGTGTCTTAGGCAAGGAATTAAAGACATGTTGAGTTAATTTAGTTTTTATTCTGTAAAAATAGATGTTTACCATGCTGGGTTTGTTTTATTCGCTGAATTCTGGGTTAGCGTGGATGGATTTTTATGTTTGTTTCCGTTGCTAGCATCCTTTTGTGTAACTCTTCACCTGAGATCTGGATTACTGCAATTCATTTTCCTACCTCTAGTCCTTCAACCCCAAATCTTAGAAATTCCCAGCTTCTCCTGTGCTGGCTGGGCATCAGGAGCCCCATAATCTGAGCACATCACCCCGTGCCCTTTCGTCCCCATACCCACTGTTTTACTTGTCCCTTGGTGCCTTCCTATGCCCACTCCTGTTCTTGCCCCCACAGTGCTGCCTTTCCCTGAATGGACGCTCCAGTCCCCGCCGTGGCCTGGAAAATACAGGATAAAAGGAGCTTGGGGGTAGGAGGGAATACAGTTTTCTACTAAAGTCCTGCAATATTTGCTTTGCACTTTCTAATTTATGTATGTATTTATTACATAGAAAACAATCCCATGACAAAAAAATCTTTTTAAACCAATTCACCCATAATCTCGACATTATTTGTTTTCCTTTTCTATGTATGACCCAATGGCGCATAAGTAAAGATAGACACTCAGGGGTGGGCAAAAGTAGTTTACAGTTATACCTGAAATAATTTATTCTTGTATTACTATAAACCTACTTTTGCCCAACTTTGTATATAGCCTTAAGTTACCAAGTTTTTTTTTTTCGTTTGTTTTATTTTTAGATTTTATTGTGGACATTTGTAGGTCTGGAATTATTTATGTCTTATAGTTCTTTTGTGTTCTTCAGCTGCCAATAACAATAGCTGATTAATATTTTTAAAGTTTTGGAAGTTTTCTTTTTCTTTAATTATTTATCAGTAGCCAGTGTTTATTTCTCTGCAATTAGACCTCAGTTGCTTTTGTGTTCTCAAGAATATGTCTCTTAGTTTGGTCTTTCTTTTTCTGTTTTTCTGTTCAGCGTTAGCCTTTTGGATCGTAAGTGAGTCATCTGGTGAGTTTGTGGGCACACTGTTAGCACCCAGAGAACGTCCAGGGCGTTCTCAGACATTTCTCACAGTCCTCCTGTTCGGGAGGGAGAAGTCGCCTCCGGAAAGTAGGGTCCACATCTTATTTGATGCTTGAAATGTAATATTTGCACAGATATTTTTGTTAGATAGAACCGAATGAAAAAGTTTCAAGCATGTATTACCTTTATAATTATAAAGTTATAAATATAGTTTCCTTTTAAAAAAAAAGCCTTGATAGACTAATTTGTGTGCTTCTTCCTCTTACCTTATAGCATTCTATGCAGGGGCCTTAGGCTACAGGACATTAATTATCTACAGTTTGTGGGGTGGTTTTGAATTGTCCAGTAGAAGATAGGGCCATCATTTGTCAGGAAATTGGCACATTTAGGTAAAGTAACAGTTTGAGTCCATGGATCAGGGGCCCTCAAGACTTTCAGGTTCAATGATGCGCTTGGGGGACTCAGCTTGCAGTCATGCCCATGGCTTTGATTCATTATGGTGAAGGCTACAAGGCAAAACCAGCAGGGGTAAAGGTGAATGGGCTAAAGTCCTGGAAGGACTCTCCGGCAGAGCTGCACAGGCTATGCTCCATCCCCAAGGCAACGTCACGTGTACGACAGCACGGGTGAAATGATGCCAACCAGGGAAGCTCGTCGGAGGCTCGGGGCCCAGAGTTTTTGTGGGTTGCTACCGTGTAGGCACCACCTAGCTTGCACATGCCCAATCCCACACTCCCAGAAGGAAGGCAGGTGTTCCACATAGAGCAGCGCCAAGTGTCCAAACAATGTAGGCACAGTGAGCAGCTCTTACCATTTCTGGAACTGGTGGGAACCCCCCTCGATTCAAGTTCCCGGGTACCAGACAGGGGCCAACAATGCAAGCAGGCCTTTCACAGGACAGCAGCAAGCCTGCTGAACTAACTCTTCCACACATACCATACATCCTTAGGTCACTTTCGGTTCGGGGGTTGCACCTTTGCAAGTCAGATTTCATGTACAAATAACTCTTTAAAAATAACTTTTCTTTTCCTGCTGTTCTAAAGGGTCTGGAAGGCTAGGACAGTTCATGGTGTCTTCTGTTGATTCATTGAGATCACAGTGTTGGGGCCAGAGTGGCAACTGTGCCAAGTGGATGAGGTCCCTTCTGCAGTTAGGAGAGAACTATTCTATAGAAAGTTCCCTACAGAAGACCTTCTACTCAAAAAACTTGTTGATGACACACTCAGATAAGCACAAATAAATGGACTCCCTCTTCTGGCTCCTTATCAGAATGGGAAAATGTACAAGGAGGGGAGGCTGAGGCAGGACCTGAGGGCATGTCTGAGAGGGGCCCTAGGGGCGTGGGGTTGAGGGACAGCCCAGATCATGGCCCTGAAGTCGACTTTGTGACAATTCTCAAGAGGGCTTTGTAAAGAAAAGTTGCCCTCATGGAAGCAACTTTTAAAAGGACAGATTTTCGCCCTCTGGCGTGAAGTAGCTTCTTTGCCAGCCTTCTTCACTGGCGCCCTCTAGGCTGAGGCGGGGGGTAAGCACCATTGCCACAGACCAGATGAAGTCATCCTGAGGTGTAGGTAAGCCACTCACGGGCATTACATGGGGATGAGCTGGAGATCCTTTGCATTTCTGCATTTAATACTAATGACATTTTTGTTAATAAACTGGCCATTTGTTTTAATAAATAGTAATCCTTTCTGTTGCTTGTTTTATTTTGTTGGTAAGTCTCCATGCTTGGTGGTTGTTTAGCAATGAACTAGACTTACAACTTGCTCTCGAGGAGGAATGGAACATAGGTTAGACAAATGTAAGAGTTAAACAAAAGAGGTTTATCAGGAATGCACCTTGGTAATTCGGAGATGTGGGAGAAGTTTGTGTTTCACAGAACACAGGAAAAGGTCAGATTCGAGTGATGTTTGCATGCTTACAGTCATTCACTCATTCTTTCCCCGTATATCACATGCTGTGCCCTAGCTCATGTGGGAGGCACTTGGGACAACAGTGAACAAAAAAATACTTGGTTCTTGCCAAGGAGCTCATCCAGTGTAGTAAACACATAGAGAATTTAAGCCCGATGAAGAAAACAAGGTGCAATGATAGATGATAATTTTTTGTTGGTTTTTTAAATAATTTTCCTTGAGCTTCAGGCTGTCCTTCAATATTCTTTATTAACATAGATAAATTATTGTGAATGCTTATGTTTTCATGCTTTTCTCCCCTTCTCTTTGTAGCATATATCAAAGGTGGGTGGATCCTTAGGAAAGCCTGGAAGATTTACAACAAATGCTATCTGGACATCAATGCCCTCCAGGAACTGTATCAGAAGAAGCTTACGGAAGAGCCCTTGACCTCTGATGCTGCGAATGATAATCATATTGTGACTGAAGGGGTGTCCGAGGAGTCTCTAAACAGACTGAAGGGTGCTGTTAGCTTTGGATATGGCCTTTTCCACCTCTGCATATCCATGGTGCCCCCAAACCTGCTCAAAATCATCAACCTGCTGGGTTTTCCAGGAGACCGCCTGCAGGGCCTTTCTTCACTGATGTATGCGAGCGAAAGTAAGGACATGAAGGCCCCTTTAGCTACGTGAGTAGCTATATTGCAATGCTTTGGTAGATAATGTAGTGTTGAAAGTAAGGGAACAACAATCAAAACCTTTAAAGGAAACTTCAGGTAAAATGCTTGGTTGGTCAAGGTGACGCCATGTGTAATGTTTTTCACTGTGACACCAAGGACCGTGTTTCTGGTGGAGTTTCTTGAAGCTGTCTTCAGAGGACCGGGCGCTGCTCTTAGGCTTCGTACCTGAGTCCTGTGTTTGAACAGGTGCAACGGTCCTATTTTCCAGCCTTAAATCATTTGTGAGTGAGTATTGTGACCTCAACCACAGTCACTGAGACTCACAATTCTTGGACTTATAGGATACAAATCTGATAAGATTTTTCTGTGGTTCTGAAATTTTTTATTCTTATGTGCTCATATTGGACAATTTTCCTTGGTGATTCTGGGTGGTCCATAGGTCTCTTCTATGTGGCTTTGGATATTTCATGCTGTTCCACGAAATTGGGTCATAGTTTCAGCTCACATGTCAGCTATTTAAACATGTGAGCGTACTGTCCAAAGCAAGGGTGCACTCATTATTCCATCGGTTAAAATGTGATTTTTTTCCAATTTGGTAAGTATTTACCATTTGCAATTTGAGTAATTTTATCATATAGTATATGCACTTTGACATTATACTTGTCAAAAATTTTCCCCCAAGATGTCGATATCACAGAGAAACCTTGTGAGCTGTTCCTACTCCTGTCAGTGTGGAGGAATTTGGATGTTAACTCCTCTTAATCAGTGGTAGCTAGTAAAGAGATCATTAATTTTTCATTTCAAAAATATTTGTTCCTCCTCAGACTCACGCAAACAGTGATCCTTTATTAATTTGACTGAATGGATTTGTAACTTGTGATGGTTTGTGTTTCTATTTTAATATCATTGTCTGAGAGAGGAATGAGTTGAATTAAATAATATAAGTTGGCCTGATCGATGAAAGAGAACCAAGTGTACGAATATGTCAGAAATACACATTTACATTAAAATATTGTGTTGGTTAAATGTTTTTGTTCATTAAGATACCAATGAATCTATCTCATTCAATTAGTTTAAATGGCATTTTTCTGGAAAGTGATGGATTTGAAGTGGTGCGGTTTTAAGTAATTATTTGTTTTTTTTTAAAATTGAGCATCCTCAGAGGCCAGAGAAAGGGCTTTTTTTTCCTGGTCCTTTCATTTATTTTAACCCAACTAAGTACCATTTTGCCTGTGGTTCCTGTATTTAAATTCAGATTCTGAGACGTACACCCTAAGTTCTGTGAACACAGGAGAAGACCACATTTTTCTTTTGAACAAAGTTAATGCTTTCCTGAGAGGGGGCAGTAAATTCCTGGTGACCAGGAATTTACTAATTTGTGTATCGATGAGTAATGTGTAGAGATTCATCTGGAAGCCTCAGAAGAGCTAAATGCTCCTATCATTATTTTCTTCTCACCTGATGGAAGGGAGTGTGCTGATTTATATGTTGTGCTACAGTTGCAGTTCTCCAAATATTGATGAAATTACAATGGGAAATGACACTCTGACTTTACTTCAGAGACTGCATAGTAAGCTCTTGGAAGGAGTGTGCGTCGGATGAACACAAACTGATTTTTTAAAAACAGAAGCACCATCAGAAAAGTCGTCTGTTCAACGTTTCTCTCCCTCTTCCCCTAGATTAGCTCTGCTCTGGTACCACACTGTAGTCCGCCCGTTCTTTGCCTTGGACGGCAGTGATAACAAAGCAGGCCTGGATGAAGCGAAGGAAATTCTTCTCAAAAAAGAAGCTGCTTATCCAAATTCTTCCCTCTTCATGTTTTTCAAGGGACGCATACAACGATTAGAGGTACTGTGCCTTCCCTGTTTTTTTTTAAATAAAGCCTCTGTTGATCACATGTATAATTGTCACTTGGGAACTGTGTCACAGTGAGCCCGAGGGTCGAGGAACAGTTTGTTCGTGTTCCTGTCCTTGTGTCATTGCTGTGAAAGACTCCCAGGAACCTGGGACATCAGTCACTTGTCTTCTGTCCCGGAGCTGTGGGCGAAGCAGGGCTGAGGTTCCGAGTTGGTGATGAGACGAGGCCGGTGTACTCAAGGCCAAAGGCAGGGGAGTGTCAGCAGGTCTCTTAGTGGAAGAAAACAAAATACAATTTTTTTCTCTTTTAGGGTTGCTAATAATCTGCTTCTAGATTTTTGTTTTTGGCTAACAGTTCATCTATACACAAGTTATTGCTTTCAGTGTCAAGGGCAGCATCAGCTTTGCAGTCGCAGTGGGGTTTTTTGATGTGATTCCTTTGGCCAGGTACTGTGCCCGACTGTCGTATGTGCCGTCCCATTCACTCCTCAGAACAACCATGTGGCGGAGAGAGGAAATTGTCGGGACCGTTTCTTAGACGAGAAGGTGGGGGATCCCAGAGGGCTTCATGTGACTTCCAGGCTCGCCCAGCAAGTGAGGCCAGGCTGATTCCAGAAGCAGAACCTGCCCTGACCTTGTGCGGGGCAGCTTGCTCTGCTTCTTCTTTGCACCTCTTTTTTGGTCTGCTTGCTTGAGGACATGAGGATTGGAACAAAAATGAAAATGTTTGTAAGAAATACCGAATTTTTCGGACCATAAGATGCACCTAGGTTTTAGAGGAGGAAAATAGGGAAAAAAAAAATTGAAGCAAAAAAATGTGGTAAAATATTTAATAACATAAATAACATAGGCCACCAGCCAGGTAAGCTACATTCGGACTATAAGACACACCCTCATTTTCTCCCAAATTTGCAGGGGAAATGTGCATCTTATAGCCCAAAAAATACGGTAAATCATACATGTGAAAGAAGGTGGCTGTCCACTCGGTGAGGCACCCGTATCTCCCCAGCACTTGTAGTGAGTCAGTGAGGTCTGCACGGCCTCTGTCCTCCAGGTAACCAGGCTCTCTGCGGAAGTCAGCCCCCGCAGACTCCAGCGGTGCTTCTGAGGGGTTTTGTGTGTGAATGCTTTCATGAGCACGGGGGTGTTCTGTGTGTGTGTTGGCAATACAGTGTATGTTGTTTCCCCAGTAATTTTTTTCCTTCATGAATTCCCTCCTTAAATCTGAGGACTCCTCACTTGCATGTATGGGAGTTGTGTTTCAGGGATTAGACTAATAATTTATCATTGAAACACAGCATAGAAAGCTCACCTGGATGTGAATTATTTAAACCCATGTCCAGTTTATTTTTCTTCTTATCTGGAAACTGGTTTTCTTTGCATTTAGGCTCATGAGCCTTCAGTTATATCGCTCCCCTTTTTTCCCTTGCTGTTGTTGCCAGACTAAAGAGGCCCATTTGCACGCATCAAAGCACAATAGATAAGAACAGGAGCTTGCCACGAAGAAAGTCAGGGTTAATTTTTAGAAAATGGTCCACGCCCGAAGTCACAGGTGAGCGAATGCTCAAAGACCTGGCTTCCCAATGGCTTCCAGGGAGTGGGTTACATAGGGGAAAAATAATTTTTTTAATTTTGTTTATTGATTTTGGAAACAGAGGAAGAGTGGGAGAAAGAGAGAGAAACATCAATTTGCTGTTCCGTTTTAGTTGTGCATTCACTGGTTGCTTTTTATATGTGCCCTGAGGATCGGACCTACAACCTTGGCATATGGGACAACGCTGCAACCAACTGAGCTACCTGGTCAGGGCTTGGAAAAGTTATGGGTCATGGTGACTGAGGGAGTTAGTGTCACGTCAGAGTTATGTCAGCGTTGTGGTCTCTACTGATTAACTGGTGCTAGGGTGGGAGTGGTTGATCAGTGCATCCGATCAACCTTACGTCAGCCATGAGGTCGCTTCATCTGGTTTCCCCAATTTTCAGCCCGGAGCCAAAACACAACTGAGGCCTAAGTATTATGTCTGGTTTAACTGAAACTCTGTCTTTGTGGTCAACAGACCCACAGCTTTTTCCTAAGATTATTTGGTGCTGAGCAAAATAGAAACAGATTCATAGACAGAGAGAACAGACCGACAGCTGTCAGAGGGGAGGGGGTTGGGGGACTGGGTGAAAGAGGGATTAAGCTAAGAAAATGAGACCCTCATAGACAGACAACAGCATGGCGATTGCCAGAGGGAATCGCGGGTAGTGGAAGAGGGTAAAGGGGCAATGAAGGGTGATGGAAGGAGGCTTGACCTTAGGGTAGTGAACACGGTACAGTATACAGATGATGTTCATTCAGTCATACACCTGAAACCTGTGTGATTTTATTAACCAATATCACCCAACTAAATTCAATAAAAATAAACTTAAAAAAAGATTATGTGATGCTGATCAGAACCTCATTGTCCTGAGGGCTGGATGCTTCAGGGAGTGGACGTGTAAGGGAAGGAGGCAGGTGAGTTGGGGGGCTGGACAAGGCCAATTTGAATCAGAAGGAAAGAAAGAAGAAAGGCCATATTAAAGAAATGAAATTTCTGTGCAATTACACTATCTTAAAAGCTTAATTTTGGTCAGTCATTTGAGCAGTCTGGTTTGTATGTTAGGATTCTTTTCTTTCAAGGTTGAGGTTAAGGTCTTACATGTAGTAGGAAAGGGTGTTCAGGCCGTTAAAGTTTCTGTACTCCCTTGGGTTTATGCAGGAGGGAATAACACTGTAAAAGGAAATTTTAACCTGACTCAGCCGTCTCACTTCAGTGGTCATTTCTGAAATGCAAGTTGGGCTATGGGTGATGACCCATAGCTATAGCCTTGGCCGATAGCTTTCGAGTCCTTGTTCCTGGGCGCCAGATGTAGCAGACCCTGTACAGCAGAGTCCGCCTGTTGTGGCTGAAGATGAGAGTCAGTGCACAGGCGACAACAATCCTGTGGAGAAAAAGGGAACAGCACAGCTACTCTCTCAAGGGGAGAGTGCCTATGGTGCCTCGGCCACTTCCTCAAGAGGGGAGCGCCCCGACCCTTGCCTAGACAGGCTTTTATTGTTTTCCTGGGGTCTTACAACATAGAAAGATTTATTATCTATCACATAGAATATTATTGTCTACATTTTAGGTACAATCAAGGAAATGAAAATAACATGCAGAGGGGAACGGTGATGAGCTGATTAGCTCTGTCATTGGGAAAATTTACACAGGCTTTGGAAGTTACCTTGAAGATAGACAATACACATTTGTTGTTTTAGACCAGGGTGATGGAGTTTTAGCAAGAGCAAGCCATAACGGTATGTATACATTTTCTAGGCCTGATTCCCACGGGAAAACTCGGTTTGAAGGTCTGGCTCCTGCCCACCACTTCGCTTCTGTAGGTTTTCCATACAGAGCTGAGTCACATTTGCCAGACTAAAACAAACCGGTCTCCAACAGTCGGGTGCAGGGTGAGTGCTTTCCTAGATGTAAATTTCTGGAAGAGTAAGCATTCTACATTTTGAGTAACTCCGAACACGATGCTCGGTTGAGCGTTCGCAGAGGTGCTGACTGGGGTGAGAGCCCGAAGCTCCCAGTGGGGTGCAGCACAGCGTGGGCACTGTGCCCTCGGGCCTTTGGTAGGACTCCCGTTGCACAGCTGATCCATGAGTCTCTGAATTGGGTTTTGAAGCTGGTAAGTAGAAATGTAAAAGTCAGGATTTATATTTTGTCACACTTGCCATTTTGGTTATTTTTTTATTTAAAAAAATACTTAACGTTTAGCTAAACTAAATAAACTTTTCTCCTGCAAACTTAATTGGGCTCAGTTTTGGTTTGTGCCACCACCGATTCCTCTTGGGGACTGAGCGTACATGGCAAGCCAGTGGTCCCTCCATTGTTGTCTGGAGGAGTCTAGCAGTGAGGACAGCACCACGCTGTGTAAGAGGCTTAGAGGTACAGTTGGGAGCTACACAGCCAACAGTATAGCTCTTTCCGGTCATTCAGGCTCTTTTAGGGGAAGTAATTGTGGTCTGAGCGTTAGAACTCATTCACTGTGAGCCGCTTGCTTATCCCACTGACACTGGTTTAAAAAAAAAAGACAAAAAGATCTATTACTGCTTGTTTAGAAGGTGTAGCCTGAGGATTAAGTGAAATGTGAGGAGAGTTTCTGTTTGGTCCTCCCCAAGGCCCAGAGGATGAAAGGATTCTAGGGCTGGCCTGAAACCTCACTGGCACTGCCCTCCAGGGTCCGGACACCAGCATTTTGTTAGTGTTTCTAGGTGACCCTGTAGGAAGTTGTCAGGTGGTGACGTCCTTCTTCCTGATGAGGACCTTGGCCCCAAAAGGCTGTGCTGTGGCTCTTGTCAAAGGCTTTGAAAGGCCTATAAGGCCCCAGCTCGGTTTACACACACACACACACACACACACACACACGCACGCGCGCGCACGGCTCGGTCGCTGAATGCACTTGCAAAGAATCTTTATCTTCTCAGTGAGCATTTGGGTTAGAAATGGGGCCCCTTGAGATTTTTTTACCGGCAAACACGGAACGTGGCCCGAGGGCTCGAATTTAGATAGGTGCATCATATGACATCTAGTTTCTTTGGGGACTGAGAATCTGCAGAATTATTGGAACAGCTGCTTTTGTGTAAGCTAGCTGTCACACAGGGTGGCACGCTCAGTATGCTGGCTAGTTTACATTTTCCTGTGCTCGTTGTTTTCAAATTATGTGCATGTTCTCCTCTGATACCATGAACAATGTTTTACATCAATTAGTAGTTCGTATGGGAAGATGGTGTTTAATGTGTCCACCAGTCCTGCTGCTCCCATAGTCCTTGATGTAGTGGCTTCATTCTCTTCTGTCGTCGTGGCCTAACTGGACATAGCAGTGAGGTCCAACACCTTTCGGGCCCCTCCGTGCCTCAGGATGGCGAGAACCTCTGCTCTTTGGGACGGCAGCAGCCCACGCGGTCAGCCAGCCCACAGAAAGAA